TTGTCCTCTTAATAATACTTTTCGCAGCGTATGCGAAGAAAGACATTTTACGGGTAATTTTTTTTACGCCTTCCGTTGGTTTTAGTAAGAATTTCTATAGATGCCTACAGTAATCAAGTACTAAGTATAGCCTATGTTACTCAGTGATAATGTAGCTTTCTAATGAAAAAAGAATTATTAAACTCATTCCCGTAGTTTTGAGTTTATCCGTTACATACAAAAATACAAATCTTTCCTCTTTATAATATTTGTAATAACTTTAATTTAGTAATTTATAACTTCGGCCCGACGTTTCGGATGCTTTGCTGCAGCCGTGGTCACGGGGAAATGTGTACTACTCGCGTAAACTATAGACAGTATTTCTTTATATCCTTTTTGATATTGTTTTAATTAGATTTGATTTGTATCGGATTAAGTTTTAATTGTAAATGTTGTTTCTGAATAAACGTATTCTATTCTATTCTATATTTATACGCGTCTTCATTTTCCGGTTCTCACTTTAAATGATTCATTTCCGATTACGGTGATATATCTGGAGTCAGACCACTCCAGATATATCACCGTTACCGAATACCAGTGTAGATCTTGTGTCAGTCAAAGCCAGAGTGACTTTACGGTCAGCGGGACCGTTGCCAAAAATAAAGTCGTAAGTGATATCAACAATGTGCGTATTATTTATGTTACATTTTTTACTTTTATTTCTATGAAGTTATAAAAAAATATAAATCCATTGACGTTTAATTGGTAAATATAATAAAATCAAGAAAAAATATGATATTTTGCGTTCAGTGGACTAATCATTACAACAAAACGTAAAACGTCTTAAGTCCCGCCCTATTTGACATTTACACCAGCGATTTACTCCAATACTTAATTAAGCATGGGAAAATCCACTTGTACGCCGATGACACACAAATATAGGAACTACGCAATCGACCCAAACTCTCCACAAAAATTTATAACGCAAATAAACGAAGACTTGGACGCTATACTGTCGTGGGCAAACGAGAATGCGTTAGTATTAAATCCGGCAAAATCTAAATACATTATTTTGGGCACAAAGAAACAATGCCAACTAATAAAAAATCTACAATTCACCATTAGCCTTGACAACGCTTCCTTTTCTTATTAGTCAGTCAGTTTCTCGGAGTCCTGGTAGACGAGCAGTTGAGATTCGAGGACCACGTTAGCCATCTCATCCGAAACGCCTTCTATAGACTCAAGGCGTTATACAAAATTAGAGTGTTTAACGGAGGAAGTTAGGCTAACATTGGCGGAGTCCCTAATCCTCTCAACTTTCTTTTATTTCTGCGACACCGTATACAGGCCTCGATTGTTCGCTAAGACGGAACGTGCGATACAGAGAGTGCAAAACGCATGTGCCCGGTTTGGCTTTGGGATACCTAGGCGAGCCCACATCTCCCCCTATCTCAACAAATACAAACTTATAAAAATGAAGGGAAGGCGAGAGATGCATTTAACGGGGCTTATGTTTAATCTGTTATCCAGAGAGAAACCCCGCTATCTCTACGATAAATTGGAATGGGCTGAAACTTCGCACACCCTTAACACGAGGAACAGGACGCAGAATATTTTACTTAGTCCCAAGCATCTAATTCTAATTTCCAAGGAGGATTCAAATATGCCGCTTCGAAAATATGGAACGACCTGCCTCCACCTCTTAGAGCTAGTTCTAAGGAGATGGCGTATTCGACTTTCAAGCGGCATGTTAACTGTACCTCCTTGGAAAGCAGATGTGCAACGATTATTGGTTATTATTCTTGTTTTATTATGTATATGCTTGTTATGATATATCAGTCTTGGAATTATATTTATATTATATTACTTTACTAAACTTCACTCCTTTCCTTCTATGCCTGGGCCAGTCTGAAAACCGGCGCTGCTGAGTGTGACAAGCATTCAGCAGCATAGCTGAGTCTGGTACCGATTGCCATCTCGTATATATATTTATTACTATATTATTTTTATCCTATAATGGCAATAAAAAAATTGAATTTGAATTTAAAAGTTTAAGTTTGGAAATGTATGTCGTAACGCATGTTTAAGTTTTTTATTTTAAAAAGGGCAAAAGTGCAGTCATTTTCTACCTACTAATAACTATATGAAAAAACGAATGCAAATGTTAAAACAATATGGCCTCGTCAGCAAACAGCACGAGAGTGAACAGTCAACTTAATGTTGTCGGATTTAATTTTTATGACTTTTGTTATTATTATTTTAACTAATGAAATATCCTATCCTAATAAAAATGCTCAATTACACCGATTCTCGTGATATAATATCAAATAGGTACTTATTTTTACAGATGTTCATGCAGATTGATGTGAAACTTTTATCATGCAATTTCTCTTATGTTGTAATATTTTCATCCAAAGTTTCAAGTCGATGTTTTTTATATATTAAGATTCGATAGAAAATATGTTTTGGCAGTTTCGTATAGCTCTGACATCCTTTTATTGGATACATTCTAAAATCTGTAAACATATGTAACTCTTCTGATTATTGGCGTAAAATTCTTTATTTATTTATATAACTTTATTATTAGAAACACCACAGGTATGGTTTACATTAATAAAAAAATTCAGAACTACCTTACAGCTAGCTTAGCGCATATATACATAATGATGAGATGTATGCGTTATTCAATTGTATTGCATGTTTAAGTCTTTCTTTCCCTCTGCTGTCGGGCTTGGGTTAGGATTACGAAATAAATAATATGGTTGCCCGCGCACCGACAAAGTTGTAAGTTCGAAAAAGTGTAACCGTTGTATAGACTAAGTTTGAGAACGCTTTGGAGAGCATTAAAGCGAAGTTCGGCGGACAGATAATCGCCGGGGCGGAGTTCCCGCGTGCGTGACCGGCCCAAGGAAGCCTGGAAGGTTTTTCCCCACTCGCCAAGCTGTCGCACGCTTTGTGCTCGCTCACTCACCATATTTTTACATTTCCGAATAATTTGCACGCCCGACTCATTCATAACGCTTTGGGTTTCGCTCGCGAATGTAACGAGTCGTTATTAACTGTGAAATCGATCGATAGGACAAAAATAAAACCAAAAACTCAGAAGAATGGCTTTATTAAAACCGTTTTTGATGAGAATCGTCAGAGCCACATATATCGCGAAATTAGTGCGCTACATACGTTTTATTATGTACAATCATTTCTAGCAGTTTGAAGTTTAATTACATTTTTTCGACGATTACAATCTATTTACAAAGATAAAAATAATTACACGTTCGTAAACTCTTAATAAAAAAATGTAAAGGGTTTACAACCTGCGCAAAAGATAAAAACGGATTTTGGTCGTCATTATGTAAATGTTTAAAAAATGATATAAAATAATATATCTTACATACATTGACTTAGAGACAGACACAAGTTCTCTTACATACTATTCGAATGTCTTTTCGAAGTCCCTATAGATAGACAGACCTAACCTAAAGATTACACATTCCATACACAGTCGATTTAGTCCAAGATCCGAGAGTTTCAGTTTAACGCTAATCCAATTCGAAGACAGCATATAATCATCTATGAACACTTAACAGGAACGGAAACATACGTATAGTACTCTCATAGTCTTATTTATAACAGATAATTAAACACTAAACAACTACATCTTAATGTACCATAGAATTTCGAAAACATAAACACTTCTCAAACATAAGTTCTTCTTATGACTAAGTTTACAACAACCGGAGGTGCTTTTCTACTTAACATCAAAATTGTCCACGTTTCAACCTCTGTCGAGCCTCATAAAAGGCAATAAAATTGTTAAATTATTCAAATCAAAATTCTAAACGAGCCAGTGCAACTTTACTTAGACCCGATTTAAAGATTCAGACGAGAACTCGTAAAACGTCAAGCGTCCTCAAGTTTGGAAATAAAATAAATTCTCACCGTGAACAAATTGAAGAGCGAACGTGTCCGCGAATAGGCGACTCCGTCACCGCTCCCCGGAGCCCGATGGAGCGGAATTATTCCTCCACTTCTTCATTTATTCCACTCCACCGAACGCCCTCGAGGCGTCTCTTCGGAGGACCCGCTGCCTTGTCCGCGTGTTTCACTTTTGTTCGCTAATTATTATTTATCATCTTGAAAATGGTCAATTGCAAAACCGTAGACGCCGACATTCCTGAAGAGTTCTCAAATTGGCGCGGAAATTCGGTCGGTTCGGGTTCTAACCATACTTACAACAAATGAGTAGGAATATATGAATAGGTATGTACTACATGCGCAAAACGTTAACCATGTTATAACTATAGTCGCGTCATTCGATTTGGCTGCGACGGCGCAAGAAAGCTTACGCCGTGTACGGCCATCGAATACTTTGAAGAGGAATACGGTTGAGGGAATGCGTGTCGAAAGTCCGTCTACGTGTAACGAGGTCAGAGGCACGTGCGATGTGCAACGGTGCACTCCACTGACTGTCTCGTAGGTTTATCTCGAAGCATAAATAGATTATCGCGGCCTAATGCACGACAGGAATCGTACGGCGCGCAGGGTGCTTGTAATCGGTAGATTTAATCTATGCAAATCTGACCTTTTAAACGACTAGACAAATCATAATATTAGTTTCCATACCGATGCGCTAAAAACCAAAACGTGTTCCAATTACTTTCTGTAGCTCTGTAAAATAGTGTAAAACAATAATCAACGGTCCTTGGGATTATTATATCGTCATACATACATAACACTGTCTATCCATGAGATGTATAGATATATTCAAGAATGTTTACTTTTAGCACTTGTTGATACTATTTAAAAATTACATTGAGCTCTTAACAATCGAAAATGTTTACTTGTAACGTATAAGTCTCGCTTTAGAAGGAGTCATTTTATTTGAAATACCGTACCTAAATAAAGAAAGACCTGTTTTTATAACAATTTGACATGCGTTAGGATCGTATCTTTCCCGCTTATGCTGAAGGTGTTTGTCTTTATAAAGACTGTATGCAGTAGTCGCACGAACTAGGCCCAGGTCAGTAGTCTTCCAACTCTACACCGAAATCTCCTGTATCTGAACGCGCTTCTTTGGAGGCGCCACGGCGCTCACCGGTCGATCTTTTAACTCCAAGTCGCTGCTGCGCTGTGGAAGCCCATAGTATTTTAATGCACAACTTTTCATTGCTTTCTTCAAATATTTTAATAATTACAAGAACTGATCTATATAAAGCATCATATCAGATTACAAATAAATATGCTAGCATTTTTTTATAGTGCTAGGTATTGTGTGAAAAGTGGTCCTCGTGGCCTTTTGGTTTCAGTCTGCGTATATTTAAACGCAGAACGAAGAAGCGGCTAGGGGATACACTATCTACTACTATCGCCCCTCATTTCGCGAGAGCGCTCTTTCGTTCGCTTTCCTCATATGCGTTTCATATGGAGGTCCATTTTTTGAACGTAAATAACGTGACTCGACGCTGAAAATCTCCTTTGAATTTATATCCAACCAAATCAGAATTGAGATAAATTTTTATCGTTTGCGGAAAGAGATTTTCTGATGCCGAGCGCCCGCCGCCCATAAATCCTAACCACTTTGACGTGACACGAAAAGACAGCGATTGCATTTCGAAGCGCGCTAACCTTATTTCTTTCTATAATTGGCTATGCACGAAAATTTCCCTTTTATATTTATTTTTCACTTTTCTAATTACTCAAAAAAATTGCTCAGAAAAATCTAACACTTGACTATTGGGCTTTGAATAGAGGCGACGATGCATCTTTTGAAAGCCTAATGTAATTAGACACTTGTGTTCTTTCTAGGTAGAAAGCTGATAAGTGCGGTGCGAGGATTGTAAACACATATTCTTGAAAACTTTGTGACTGCCAAAATTATAAAATTAACGAGTCGTTTTTGAACGCCATTTATTCAAGGAACCGATGTACACACACGTTATTTGAATAAAATATTTCCGTTTTATTTCCTTCGCCTCCGCATGACGCGTCCGAAGGTACGATCGGCCGGAACAGGTAAAAGTGCCGCGTCATCGGAGGCCATTATGCGAACGTTCCGCCCTCATCGATCACAGCGTTGCATTTTATTCCAATATTACGCCTCTATTTGTCTACTTCCACCGACTCATGAATGCATTGTTCCGCGTCGTTTCTCTCGGAGCCATACTTACGCGGGATTTCGATGTTTCGGTCGCTCGATTGTCACGAATTCGGAAACGTTAAAATGTATGCAATTCTGTACTTAACGGGTGAAACTCTTTTACCTTGAGCGTGCTTTTCCGAGGCGACGTGAGAGCATCGCCCAGGACTGCGGCTCCTCGGCTCGAGGTGCTTCCTGCGAATGACAGCAACGTTACTATAAGTGGCATCGATTAGAGTATGCAATATATTTAATATATATATGTACATAAAGTAGTGATTGAATTCCTACGACCGCCAAGACCATCTTTACTTAAAGGTTATGTTGAAGAGAAGGAAAGCGCTAATTCGTTTACCGTCCCGCCTAGGTCTTCGGTTGGTACGGCGTTTGCCTCGCTGCAAGTAAATGCCGGCGAAGACGATCAGGTTCAGCGCTAGCAGGAAGCAACCGGCGCCCACGGTCACCCCCAACGCCAGACTATAACTGGGAGAAATAGTCTCGGTTAAAGAATACTTACTGTTAAATAAAACACTTTAACGGTTTAAAATGCGATAAAATCATTTTCAAATCAAAAAAGTTTAACTAATATACTGCGTTTTAAACCGTTAAAGTGTTTTATTTAAATGTGTTCTACTCGCGTAAACTATAGACAGTATTTAATCCTTACTGTACTGTAAAATGCAGACACTTGTAACTAGGACCGGCTTTGTCCTGGGTTGGAGCTCCGACAATGAAGCTGCCGTGTCTTTTCTTTTATGGCGTTATGCTTTATAACTTGGTTCACTACTCGCAATGCATCGAGCCTTTGACATAATTGATTATCAACCTCGCACATTCGAAAAAAGTATCGGCATCGTAACCTGTCATGGGTCGTATATCGTCTACAGTATTCGTGATAGCTCGGCGAGAAAGGCACACAATATTATGAACAGGGAATCCCGGTGAAATATCGCAGCATTAGTTGTTCGTCGTTCGGCCGATTCGGTCGCTTCGGAGCCATCATTTACCATTATCTACTGGACTCAGTCGACTTGAGAAATGCTACTTTTATAACTAAGGTGCTCCGCTCGAGGGAAGCGAGTCCTTTCGCCTTCATCGATCACCGACTTAGCTGCAGGGTGAAAATATTCCCATGTTTGATGTGGCCTTTGCTACTACATTTTCCAAAATTTATTAAGCATTTATCTGTAAAACATGAACCGATGACTCGAAGCGCTCGAAAAATATATTTCATTTCATATGTATTTTAACTATGGCCCGACGTTTTAAACCGTTAAGTGGTTTATTTGAATGTATACCTACTACTCGCGTAGAGTACAGACAAAGCTTAATATTAAAGTAGTTCCATTTGCTTTTAGGAGCCCGCGAGGAGGTAAGCCATTAGGTAGATTGCGCAGAAGCGATTCCGCCGTGGAACGTCACGTTATTGACACAATATTATATTTTAGCGAAAACTTGTTTGCCTTACTATTGAACGTCGTTGCAGAGTTAACATGTAAACTTGCAAATTTCCTTTCCCAAGGGCTGTCTAAGATTTTGTCTAGTCTTACATTGTCATGATTTCTTTCATTTAGAATTTGCATAAGTCACATTTAGTCACGCTTAAAGATAATTCAGTCAAATGTTATTATAAGTATTTTAATGGCTTATGTCAGAAATCAACACTTGTGTGATGTAGTAATAATTATAATAAAAAAAGAACACAATTTCCTACAAATTAAAAGCTAAAATGACAATGAACATAATATATTAAAGATACATATTATTTTAAGTTTATTTCTTTAGGAGTGACAGCCCTTCGTGATTTCGTTTTCGCAAAAACGTTACGCGGGCAAGGATAGGTTATTCGTGACAGCAGAATATGTGTATTTGACTTATGTTATGTTTGAATTGAATCCAACGTAAGTGAACTGCCTCGCGAGACGGAAAGCTCACTATTTTCCCCTTTCATAATAAATAACAAAGGAGTTTCAGCCTTCAAGGTATTTATATGTTTGCATATAAGCCAATTTTTTGTTTTGTTTTTCCGGCGCGATACGCTATAGTGAATTTTTAATAAAGAAATTGGCAGAAACTCGATCCGAGCTTAATTTCTTCGATCGCGGTGTGATTATTCGTATTTAAATATATAAAAATCGTATAACATAATTGATTATTTTGTACTTTTAATTTATAAAAGGCAGCGTTCGCGCGTTCAGGGTTTAATAATAGCGGAACCGTACAAAAAGCCGTAATAAGACCACGAAAGGTATACATAGCACTATAAATGTGAGGTATTGTTTGATTTTAAAAGTTTCGCAATCATCCGGCTCCTGGCGGGACACGGGCTCCAGCTAAAACAATACCTTTATTAATGGCCAAAGTTGTGTTTAGGCAGTCGCGAATGAGCTATTTTGGCTCAAAACGACGCTAAACGCAGTTGTGCTGTAATAACTTACTCTTACTATTGTACCGCTTATGAACGATGCTAAGAAGAAGCGATTTCACAATGAAAATTGTCTGAAAGATAAGCAAAGAGGATCGTGTTTCTCTACAGAGTTTTGAATATTAACTAGACTATAATTGAAGAGGGCTTTTTCGTCACTTTTTATTGAGCAAAACGAAGCATACCTATAGTACTGCGAGTCCAGCATTAGCGAGTCCTCCCTCGGTGAAGGCCTCTGCGGGGGAAGGGCGGCCAGGGCCGGTCTCGCGGACGGCGAGGGGGTGCACTCTTCGACCTCACTCTCTTCTTCACTCTCTGTGCTCTCCTCGTCTTCGTCGAGTGACGCGGACGTGGTGTACATCTCGGGAAAAATATCGCCTGTATAAGTCGTAATTTACCATTATTGCGGAGGAAGGACCCAATTTATATAGATCATGCACAAACTAGTCTCTTCAAGGTTAGATGCATACGTAATACTATATTTTTACTATAGGTTCTGGCATCCGAATTTAAAGCTTATAGGTATACAGACATACAAGTCGACAAATACTTCTTTCTATCCTGCCACTCTTTGTGTATCGCACACATTCCACCCACAGATGCAAGCACAGTGTTTGCTGACGAACTACTTGTTCGTCAGCAAACACTGTGCGTGCATCTGTGGGTGGAGTGTGCAAGCAGTGGACACGATTATTACTGACACCTTCTCAATGCACCCGTAGACGAAATTAGGTAAAGAGCGACTCGCAACAGAGTTTAAGGAACAGGCGGGAATCACGGCGAGATTTATACGGGCGTCGGGTGTGGCAGTATTTTGTGATCTGTGACGTCATTGGTCGCGATTTACGGCAGCTATTTGTCTGACTTTATTGCCAAGTGTTACTCGCTCACTTTCGAAATGTTCGTTGGCTTCCCTCGAGGTATGTCTTAGGAAAAACTTCCACTGATTTTCTCTGAAAAAAACGAAGGAGAATAAAACACGCCCCAATGAAAGAATCCTTCCTCTACTTTACAAAATTCTTCCGTGCCTCAAATGTTCAAACTTTCATTTACATTTTGAATGTACTACGAGTGACTATTACGGCTCTGAGAGAAAGCCGAGTGATAACAGCTTACTGCCTTATGTATTCATTGTTGTGTGCCGCTGAAGGGGCACAACTAGCTCTAAGCCCGTGAAAGCCTTTTCGCTAATCCGCGACGCTTCGAGCGCTCAATTCCGGACACTTCAGGGAAAACGCTCCTCGAATTTATCTATTTTATAAAGTTCAATGACGCATCGCGCGGCTCACAACGTATTAATGATCAAAATAATACAAACATTTTATTTTTTTTATGATTCTAATCGCTACAGCTTGTCGCTCGGGGAGTAAATTGGCGTATCCGAAAATCAATGTCAGTAAAACTTTATGAAGCGCGAGCTTATCTCGCAGGAAACTGTACGTTTTGAAAAGTTAATTTTCACGTTTCAAATGACTTCTTCATTTCAGTCGGACTCGTCTCCCCGCGGCTCGCACACAATATCTGTACGAGCGCTGATGAGAGCGCTTCTGTGTGTGTCACTCGCCACATGTAATTGTGAAAAGTACTATTGTCCTATCTAGTTGTTTGTACGGAAAAAAAATGGGGCGGTAGTTCATAATATTTACATTACTGGCTGCGGCGTGGTGGGGCCTGCAACTTTTTGACTGGTCCGTTTGAAGTGACCACATAAAAGCCTCGCGCTGCCCCCAGAAAAGCTTCATATATTTTTAGCATCTTTCTTTTTACATAATATTAATGCACATGCTAAATTGAACATTTTTACCAGTTTATGTTTAATTGTAATTGCTAATCGTGCAATAATTAATTTGCTCGATTGAGTCTTAAACGATATCTGAACTGAATATCTTCATTTGCCACCCAAAATTAGCTATTAATACTACCTCAAAGAACAAAATGCTTGAAATATGCCCGATAGCTCTTTAAACCTACTCAATTACTGTAAAACGTAATTTCAAAACAAGAGAGTCGGCTAGTAGCGAGGTAATTTACGTTATGAATGAGGTCACAGGTTTGGAGCCCGGCGGGGGCACTAACGCCGAAGGGAGCTCGTGAATCAGCACTAATTTACGACCGTTGCCAACTCGGCTGCCAGATTAAAGTGTCTTTACCTACTTTATGAATACTAGTCACTCGTAAATTATGTCGTAGAGTAACGTTACTTACAAAATTTAATTGTTAAAAAATCTTAATCGTACTCTTTCATTCGTTTTGCCTTTTTTGCGCGATTAAAGAAAATGTCACCCCGATTCCGACGAATTGCATCGTCGCGATGGCGAAAACCTATGAAAAGTTAATTTTCTTCAAAAAGTTCGTATGAAAGCCTCAATAAATTAAAACGGAACGACATTACGTTAACGCCAATTTACATTCGCGATAAGGAAACCGACGGCGGATTAGGAGGGCCGTCACGTACGGTTCGCGCGCGCCGTTCTTAACGTCCACCACTCCTAAATTAAACGAAACAAAAGAACGCCGCACGCCCGAAATTGCTCTTCACGAGTTGCGAACAAAGCCAGCGGCGAACTAATTCTTTTGCCGCATTCACCACTTTGCTCCTAGCGCGAGAATTCATTTAGAAAATTATATTGGAGGCGCGGAATCTAGTTAGGTCTCGAAAAATACGTCGCGGTCGGCATACGTCGTTCCCAGTAGTTTTATCTGTCTTTTATCTCGCACAATACGTCAAGCGAAATAAACTAAATTTGTTCTACAACTCGTTTGTGGTAGCTTTAATTAACGCAACTTCAGTAAGTAGTAAGATGCTTTGTATGTTCGCAGGTATTGAAATGGTCGTGAGGCGTTACCACTCCGACCTATTTTTGACCTAGTTCTCATAGTTGATACTAAAAAGAGTATCCGTTGAAAAATCTTGCGAACCCTACAGAGTAAATAAAAGAAGAAAAGTTTAAAGGTGTTTGGAATGTGAACAATTGTTGCTTTTTTATTTATCCTTAGGAAGAGTATGCCAAGAAAAGGTTTATTAATAATAAGAGTAAAGATTAATAAGCCGCATTCGCAAAATAGAGCATCAGAGCAGGAAATGAGGCGATTGCAATAAATAGAATCCTTAGTTATCGTAAACATTTTTTGTTTGATTTCCTCCTTCGCGATGCTACGTTTCCACGCCAGCTAGTTCGCCAGTGTCGGACTACAATTGCGGGTGTTCATCTTAAACATACGATAGACTATTTTATTCGTCAGGTACTATTATATTCCGTATTTAGACATTAGTCATTGAGATGGCAGCAATAAGTGATCTATTATGTTTAAGCAAAAGCCCATTATTTGTTTGTTTGCACACCTAACGTTTTGCTAGATAGGGAAGTAATGTACTTATTATTCCTGTTTCAAACCGATGAGGAACAATTATAGTATTCATCGTACATTTGGTGTGCAATCATTTTTATAAATAGAGACGTTTTATTGGGATTCTATTAATTTGGGGCTCGAAACTATCTGTAGGTAATTTTTCTGCAAATCTTTTGTAGAGTATGTTTTCATTCATAGAATTTATTCTTAAAGTATTACCATAATTTAATTTCTTCTAAAATGTAACATAATACTGCATTAATATGCTGCGCTCGACGTATTCGAACCGCACAACAAAATGGCGGCGCAGCGGAACTTCCGAGTCCGATAGCCCGCGGAGCGCTCGCGAGTGCAGATGCGCCGTTTAATTCCGTGGCAGCGGCGCGGGAGCGCGGGCGGCCGGACGCTCTTCGCCCGCCATTAAAACGCCCTAAAATCCCTCCACTTCGTGAGTTTCCGTCGCGGGCTATCGCTCTAATTGCTCGCTCGTTGCGCCATATTTGGAAATTCGTCCGCGTCCAAAGGTGCTTAATGAGCGCGCCGCGTCGTCTTGTACCGACTCGATTTAATGAATTTCCTATTTCTACTAATGACAATCATTTTTAATTTAATTAATGCGGCTTCGAATTGCGATGACTTCGCGGAAGGTGACTGCGCCTTCCTCGTTCTCTCTCTTGAGTTTTTAAGAGGAAATAGGTAAATGTCATTTTTTACGAGCTTAATTTTTAAGATTTTTCCTCTTTTTTTTTTCATGTCATGTCATTTCAGCTTACAAAAAATGTCAGTTTAACGCTGCGAAATGGGCTCACCGGCGAACATGTCAGGGTGCAGGGAGCGAAACTGATGGTGCGCGGGCGCAGCCCCAGCGCGGTGGAGCTGTGGAATGAGATGCAGCCAAACTGACATCTTGTGTCCTCGGTAGTGGCTCTTCGTGCGGACCTTTGTACCTGCGGGCGTCTGACATAACATAACTGAGTACTCGATTAGGCTAATAATACAGATGTATTTTTACTCAATTTGCTTTGTATTATCAACTGGAGAAATCATCTGACTTATTATTATTTTCGTGATAATAAAAAATAAACAATTTATAGCAAAAACTAAAAGCGCACAAATGCACAATATGACCAAAAAATGATTTTTCTGTCTGTCCGCCTGTTAAAGACTCTCAATCACTCTGTTTTTTATGCAGAATAGTTAACTATTTTCTCGTATAATTAAAAATAATAAGTCTCTCATCGCTACGTTAAGACCTCGACGAAATTGGGGAGATCATAATTTCCAGCTTGTCGAGTATTTCGAAATACGTCGCCTCGACAAAATTGGCAGGAAATGGACAAAATATTGCACAACTTTCGGGTAAATGAGTCTTCAAAATAGCCCAGGGTTCACCGCAACTCGTGATTAAGCCCGAGGTTTGAGAGGAAACTTTGTCGCCTCGAGAGTGCTGCAGAGCCTCTTTATCGACTGAAGCGACTGGTTTTAAGCGATCGGCGAACTTATTTCATTCTGCGGATATACCTTGTATTTTAACTATCGCGTTAGTGTTAGAAATATGAATTATTTAGATACTCTCTCTCTACTAGTCTCGCGTGTCGATATCATTACATATTTTACTTTACCTATAAGTTTATTATTTAAAAAAAAAGTTTCGTTTTAACAAAAACTGTTATTATTTACCTATACTCAAATATTGCTGAGTGTTTAGTTCGTATCGGGGCCAGCCGACGGTCGTCTCCTGGTCTTCGGGCTTCAGACTCGGGTCTCCCGTCTTCGCGAAGGCGGCTAGCAGAGCCACGCAGGACTCCGCTACGCCCACATCACCCCGGGAGTAGTTCTTGGGGGCGAACGGGGGCCCCCCGACTAGGGGCAGCCCCAGGAAGTAAGGTAACGTTTCACTCGTCACGCTGCCTAAACGCTACAGAAAAATACATTTATTTATTTAATTTATTGCTGACTTTCCATTCAAATTATTTTATATAATACTACTGATGTCCGCGGGCTTTATAACAATTCATTTTATTCTTTCTTATTACATACATTTAAATTAAACCGAAAAGTAATATGGCTCTTTGTCTAAATTAACAAAAAGGTATGTAACCTAAATAACACTAAACGAATTCATCTGATTCTTCCGTTAGGCTTTGCCCTAATAAAAAACACAGTTAAGTGAAGTGCTTCAAGGGGCCAATTTGACAAGACTCGCGATGTTCCGACGAATACTCGTCTCCGATAAATAAGATAAACAATTATATTTCAGCCGTATTACCTCGTCGAGTCGTGTTTTTACATAATTCCTAACGTAATTAGGATAACTACGCCGAACAAATAACGCTTAGGCCGGAATATATTTCCTTCTGCGTTCAACAGATTTAAGCAAATTGCTTTATGATAGGACGTTTTTAAGGCGGAAAAAGAAGTTTGATTGAAAAAACTTTTCAATATCATAATGCGACTAGGATTATACTTTGTTTAGGTGTAAACGATTTCGCGAGTAGTGCACGTGTAAATAAAACACTTAACGCTTTAAAACGTGAAATGTATTAGATAACTTATTTACAAATTAACTAAGACCTGATGATTCGTATGCTTTACAGCAGCCGTGGTCACGGGCGAACAGAAGATGGAGGGTGTCACCGATAAAGATTCCTTAATCACCTGCGGGTAATCGGCGTCCTTGCTCTGGTGTGCAAAGTGTGCGAAGTAGGTGGGCGCGCCGCGCTTAGCGTGCAGCTGCGCCACGCGCAGGGCGGGCGCCGCCCCGGCCGCGTCGCTTATGGACTCGAGCGTCGCGTCTCGGATGTTTATCGGATGCTGGATGGGCTTCTCCCAGTCCGTGTACTCGTTCCGGATAGCGGCGAAGATCTCGTTGCGATGGAAGCGGTACACGTTGCGGACGTACGTGCGAAGTACGCGGTTCCTGAATTCGCATCAGGTTACAAATGTCTTTAATCAATCTCATCGACACAGAGAGAACATCAGAACAGATAAGAAAAACCAAACAATACATTTGAGATCATTACCTGTACTCCTCTTCGAATCCGTGTCGTATGTCCTCTTCGCTGAAGTACCGGTAGCTCTCGGTGGTGGTGACGACTACCGCTAAAGAGCAGTCCAGAAAAGTGTCGCTGGCGTGCATCGCCCTCGTGGGGCTCAGGTTAGGGATGTCGTCGTTCTTGGGGACCGAGGGGGCCCAACCGGCGAGGAAGCGAGCCGTCGGCGCGTCGACGGCTAGCAGAACAGACAGCGGACGATTTTTGATACACGCTGTCAACCTAAATTGTAAGTATTTTTTAAAGAAATGAAACGATTATAAAAGTTTTTAGAACTATTGTCACACGCACATCGATAAGAAAAAAATGTATTTGTCCTAAATTACCAATGATCGTCTGTGGCCTGATCTCTGGTGCACCGCAACGCCTGCGCAGTGTGCTCCCTGGCCAGCGCTGGATCTGGAGCCAGAGCAGAAGGGCTCAGTGCAGATCCACTTAGCAACAGGATGCGGGTCACCAGGCCTAATAGAGCGAAGTATATAGAAAATTGACTTTTTAAATAGTTAGTCTAGTAAAAGACAAGACGTGTATGGTCTCCTACCTTTAATTCCTGGTGTCATAACAACAGTGTTGAGGAGAGCAGCGCCAGTCCCGTGGCCCACTAGGGTCACCCTCTTCGAATCACCACCGAAAGGGGCGATGTTTGTCCGTATCCAAGACAACGCCGCGACGATGTCTAACACCGCGGCGCCGCCCGCCCGGGAGGCTTCGTCGTCGCCTCCACTTGTTAAAAAACCTGACGGGATATAGGAACAAGTTTGACTAAAACAGGATATTTAAAAAAATCGGTTGGTCGGTACCGACTGCAAAAAATTAACACTGTTTTGCAGTATGTGTGTTTTTGTAAGTTGCCTACATTTACTGATTTCGAAATTGATCTTACCTATGCGAGACGTACGTTAAGAGGATAAAGTAATTATATATATGAAAAGTCAGTCGTTAGCTGCCGGCAGCAATAAAGCAGCATTGCCAAACGCCAATAAACCCATTTGGCAGGGGCCCCTCGGCCTCATCTCATTGTTTATTATTTCACATTTCTCATGCTGGGTGCGTTAGGCTGTTTGCATTTATTCAATTAATGTAGAAATACTCAGCCATGCCCCTACCACCACGCCATAACCATACTTACGCTATACACCTTATATTTTTTGATTTTATGTTACATTTTACGACATCCTGAATGCCCATCTTTCCGACTGGTTTTGTTTTAATTTGTAAATAGTATATAATTTGCTAACCAAGTAATCCTATCCTATAGTTAAGCGTGACGACAAGGAGATGCGCCCGCGCCGCCAGCACTGCCGCGCCCGCGTCCAGAGCGTTGCCGGAGCCCCACGCGTGGGCCGCATTCGCCCACACTGCCACCGCGTAAGGGGCTTCTACGCCACGCGCACCTGCAAATGTGTATTTATTGTTAAACACATTTTTATTTTAAACTTATACTAAACTATAGGCGTATAAAGAAGTAGATTTGTTTTAATTATGCATGTACGTTTGTAATTATAAACTCAAAAACTAGAGCTGGTTAAAAAAAAGGTAACTGAGAGGAAACTGTTTTACCGTCAATGATGATTTGAAAGATGCGTTCAACTTGAGTAGTATAGTCAGTATATTTATTGGTAGAAAAGATTGGGATCCTTATTTAAATATAACAATTTAGTAACGTAACCAGAAATAAAAAAAAGTAAGCGGATACAATATTAGAGAACAGATCGATGACTGTAACAAAATGAATAAGAGAAAACCACGTTTTCCAGGGAAGCCACTTATTATATTTAAAGGAATGACAGGATATTTAAAAAACAGCTTACCGCTACCGGGGACATAAATGTTTAGGTAGAGGCAGTCTTCGCTCTGATTCGCCAGAAGTGGGGCAATAGCGGCCACCTCTCGGTACACTCCGAGAGGCATCTTCGACAGCGCGGCACTCCTGAGTAAAGGGGCAAAAACCTTTAACAGGCAGTTCAGTGGTCGCTTTGACCTTAATATTACGTCGTCAAGTGACAAAGTCAAAGTCTTTTCCACTAGGCCCTTCTAACCTGTTGGATACGTCCGGGAACCGCTGCGGACAGACGGGCGCGAAGGAGTCTGCCAGACGCGTGCCCGGCCAAGACTGGGGGTTCGAGGGGGCGCCCAAACGCGGGGGCTTCGAGGCGTACGGCACACCCCGGAACACTTCCACCGGCTCCAGCCGTCGGGAGGCAGGCTCCACTATGATGCCGCGGATTGCGCCTGCACCACATCAAATTACACTTAGCTGCTTTGAAATTGCATCATACTTTATCTATAAGAGGCAGATTTACTATTGCACGCTCATAATATTTGAGTCAGTCTTCGCTTAGTGGAAGAACATCTCCTGCCCCCGATTGTGTCATCTACTCGCGACGGCGAGACTTGATATGGTGATGATTAGGCCGCGAAAGTCTTACAAGGTTTAGAGTAATCTTAGGAATAGAGTAACAGATTTATTTCTGTTAAATAATGAATCATAAATGAGAGAAACAATTTTAACATAATTAAACGCGAAATGTCAATTTATTTATTATTTTAAACATCGACATCACGGAACCCAAAACCTTCTGATAAAATTAACTCTACCTCCTTAATTAAATAATTGTCTTTAATTCCTCTTGACTTTCTTGGTAGAAACCAAATCGAACACATAAGTATTTATTAACACTTCTTTCAAATAATGCTAATTATTAGTTTTATAGAATCATTAATACTAACACACGAGTTAAGTTATGTTAAATTTGAATTTGATAAATAACTCTCATAATGTTATCAAGAGAAATGAAAAAAAGAAAACATTTTATCAAGGGAGCATTATTGCAATGAAAAAGGGATTATTTTATAAAATCTCGCACGGAGCTAAAATAATTTGTTCGCTGCGCAAAAAGTTTAATAAACCGGGCACTAGTCAGCGCGACACAATACCTAATTTCAAAACCACCGCCACAATGCGAGACCGTTTTCATATGAACTATTTGCTGTTTTGTCCCAGAATAAGAAGAAAAAGACCACTGCATTTCAAGGTAGATACAAAGTAGAATGCGGACTTAAACGAGAAACGTCAAGGAAGAGGCTTCCTTACTAATATGCAGAACTTAAAAGAACGAGTACTCGGCGAGTGTAGTCTCGTTACGGTTATTCAACCGGAGACCGCAAGGATCCGGCAATTATTAATTTGACCCTCGACTACAAAACGAAATAGGAGCTCCCCGGATGATTGGATCGTTCCGGGATCACGCCGGGAATTACACTCATCCAGCCGAAACGCCAGGGCTATCGACCGCTACCTTTTTTCCTACGAAGCCACATTCACATAAATCGCTCGGGACACCGTTCCCTCACATTAATATACAAATCGGTGAGGTACAATTGTGTTTATCGATTAGCAATCGAACCCGCGCTGATGATTTCCGAAGAAGGCGAGACGTTTGACGCGACAGAGGCGAGAAGACGGCAGCCCTAGCCGCGGCACGACAGACCTCGGGTGACGAGCGAACCTATCCGATCGCATTATATTCGGATCATTTCGAGTCCGAACCGGGCCCATGAATTATTCATTCGCCGCGAGATCTTGAATCGTTTAAATTTCATCAAACATTTTGGAATTTTGTAATAATATCGTCGAGCGAAGATAATATTATGAGTGTTCGCGTCGGAGGAGCGGCGAGCGACGAACTGCGCTCAAAGGAGGATGCAGTCTCTCTCAGTGAGATTTACAACGCAAAGATAGCTGTAATTCTCGTCGCGACCTGAATGATATTTAATTATTATGTTTAAGTACCGAGGGTGACTAAGGCTTAGCAGTTAAAAGTTCTAATTCGGGGAAAAACGACAAATCTTGTATTGTTACATATAAAGCTTATACTTACTGTCTATAGTTACCTAAATAAGCTTATACTTACCTAACAAAACTTAATAAAAAAGTAGCTAGTAGCTTCTAAGAAAAAGTGACATTTCGTTGTATCTATCTCTTGTGATGAAAACATTTCTGACAAATAGGTACCGTGTGCGGTGTGGACAATGCGGGAGCTGTAGCGAGGTCCGGCGGAGACCAGCAGCGGGAGCAGCCCGAGCAGCAGGGACCACCACGCCCGCCGCAACCACTCCATGCGCCATCACGCGACTGGTGGCTGCAATCGATTCGATTCAATTAACAGGACCCCTGTTAAACATTAGCGACGTTTTTCACTCATTGAAGCAGAAAATATATTTATTTTATTTTGTATTAGGAAACCAAAGTTACACTTAAAAGCTTATAAATCAATTTTGTTGGAAAATTACATCTGTTTGGTTGGCAAGTCTTAATGACGTCGACGAAATGGTAACATATCACATAACTCGATCACGTCTCTAACATTTACAACACAAGATTTTCTTGCTTTTCTTGATAGTTTTAGATATGCTGCTTTGAGGTGTTATTGCCCAAATTAGTATAATAATAACTAAATAAAATAATTAAACTAATATGTTTGTCTGTTCGTTCGTGGTGATTCTACAGAGTGTTCAAAAGAGCAACATAACCGAGAAAAACACCCAAGAAACTCACGTCTGGCTTTTTGTGAATTTAATGGCCCAACGAGCAATTCGTATCACACGCACACAGCCTTGTCATTAAAGAAATCTTTTAAACAATCATACGCCTTTTGAGACAATATAAATTTTATGAGTTTATTTGAACCTAGTAATTGATAAATTTGAAAACTTAAACGACAATACATACGAATACTACAAATAAAAAATATATTTATGTATATATAACATAATTTTTACTTCAATACATACTAACATTTTATGAATATTGTCTAAAAGTAAATTTGATTATTTATTCATGATAATTTTAAAATTTCAAGCTGCTTATTGACAATAAAGGATATCTTTACATGGCACGTTCATAGGCGAGAGTCAACCGTAAGTCTTAAGTGAGACATCGAAAGGGGAGGAGGGGCACTGATCATATCCGATTATGATCAAGGCGAACAATTGCTTAATTGCCTATTACGATAATCCCGTCGAACTGAGTAGTCCGTGATGACCCGGTATATTTAGATGTGAGCTGATCGCCAGCTTACAGCAGCAAAGGTAATATTCAAGTGAGTTTGACACGAAAAACAAAAGCAAAAAGGTTCATTTCGTGTATGACTAAAGTACCGATGGTATTTATTTTAATGTAAGTATATAGCTACTCGACTCCATACACCTAACAGCCGAGAATTGAGACTTTGTTACACACTTAAGACAGTAATCTCGTACCTACGTCGAGAGTGGAGGATGATCACGCCCGACCGCTCACTTGAGCTCGCTCCTCCAGTACTGTTGAAGTCTGAGAAGAGTAATGGTGCACTCACGTCAGCTGCAGAGCAGCCTCTCCGCTGAGCCGTCTATTAATAGCGCGAACCCGCCGAGCGTTATCTAAACACTGCACTTCGCTCCGGGCCCGATTCTAATATTTCCAAGCGACACCGTGGCGCATTTGCATTAAGAAAAGGTAGAGTAATATAATGTAACATATACATTCGTTAAACTGTAATATTTCCGTGCCTTTAATAAATAGTCCTCGATAACAAATATAGCCCGCTCGCCAGCGGAGACGGCCGCGACTACACGCCGGCTCGCCCTGGACCCCGCCCGGCTTCGCTCGCAATAACTCGGCGTCCGACTCGTTGGCTGTGCGAAGAGCTCACTCAATTTATTACTTCCCTTTCTCGCAAATACTTCCAACTTACATTGCTATTGTGCGATATTTCCTTTTATTCCTCCGTGCAGATTCTTATTTCGCCGAGTTTTACTTTTATTACACTGCGCCAATAGACAACTCGCAAGGTTTTCATATAGAATAGACATAAAGATGCGACCAGATCTTCGACCTAATCTACATAAACGCGCTCTCTCTCATAACGTCCGAACGAAATGAGCACGGGACGAAATCAATTCTCTCGGAGATAAAGAAATGACACTTTTGAATATTCATTTCTTGAAAAGAGATCGAAGAGCGTATTGATGGTCTTGCGAGATGGCCAGACTCCCTTCCGACGGATCATCAGTCGCAATTAAAACGTCGGTAACAAAGATCAAAATTGATCAGTAGCGCTATCTCGCTCGGCCCCATATAAAGGTTCTGGTAGAGGAATATAGACAATAAACCACGAGAGACTTTGGGTTTACAGGGGGATGGGAAAAAGGGGGTTTTAAGGGGTTCTGGTAGAAATATAGACACGAGAAGGGAGAAAAGTGAGAAATGCTGTTGGAGCCAGAAGACTCGCCGCACCCAGACGGAAATGATCACAAAGCTACAACCAAAAGAACACCATTTCGATTGCGATTTATTTTTATCAGGCGTTATAAAATTCGAAAACTTACAAATAATTTAAATCTTTAATCGCAAATACTTTAAAATAGGTTTTCTCAAGTTTTCGAGTTTAACTACGGCGTGCCTCGTACACGTTGTGATAACTGATGAAAAGGAATCGATCTGTCAAAAGTAAACGGTTTTCATTCCATTGTTTAATTTTATCTCTCTGTAGAGCGGGTAAATGAATTATCGGATTTCCCAATTTGTCGTTGATACAATTATTATTGTATCGGAGCATGGTAACGGGAAGTCCTCCTTTATGTTATTTATTAGTCAGCTTGTACGCGTTTTTCGAAATACTATTACCTCCCTCAAATTCCACGGGGAATAATAAGTGTGGTTTATATTTAGTATAGAAGCTAGCGTCATATTAGTGATTGCACATTTATTTTAGAATATATATATTTTTTACATTATATTTTTAACATAAAGAAGCGTCAACAAAAACTCATTCGAGTTTTTCCGTGACACCCTGTTTCGTCTCAGCACTCATTACATAGTTATACATAGTTAAGATATAGTTATATTACAAACAGTTTCACGCATAAGCAGTAAACAATCAAGTCGCAACATTAATTAGAAGATGTTTGGAGGAAGTAGAATTTTTTTAAACTTGGTTTTAAGATTTTTTGTGGTAAGTGACATTTTTAACCTATTTGGTAATAAATTAACTAATTTGGGTATGACATAGTCGAGTGTTCTTTTTCCATATAGGTTGTTGTAATATGGCACTTGCAAGTAGGTCATATAATATAACATTTTTGCTCTATTTTATTGAAATTGTTTTTATAATAGTTTTCGGTTAGGATATTTAGTTCTATTTTTTCATGTATAGGTATTACTTTACAGAAGGCGAATAATTGTCGATAATCTTGTATAAATTTTGTTTTAATGTTTTTAGGAACAATTTTCTTTAAGATTCTAAGCCGAAGAGAATAAATACGATCAAGGTGAGATTTACTGGACCTCCCATAACTCGATAGACCGTATTGAATGATCGATTCGGCTAGCGCCCGGTACAGTAGTAAGCGAGTTGTGTATGGTATTTTGTACTTAATTATTGCAAACTTGGCCAATATACCCCTAAGTTTGTCGCACACCGCATTTACGTGGTGTTTCCAGTTGAGGCGATTATCAATAGTGAGGCCCAGGTAAGTATGTGTATCCACAATTTCTAGAGCTTCACAGATACAAGAGAAATCGTCGTATTCCCCTCTATGGAGGCAAGAATTTTCGTGCGCTATTATTTGAGGTAAGGTGTCGCTAGGCGAACAATTACGACTGGATCGGATGTACATTAATTTGTTTTTTTTTAGTGATGAGGACTAGACCGAAATCATGTGACCATTTTAAAAGTACGTTAAATTCGTTTTGAAGTTTTTTCATGGCCTCTCCTTTTATTGAGCCGGCGCTGACAAGACAGGTGTCGTCTGCGAACTGAAATATTTCGCATTGATTAATTGCGTTTGGCAGACTGTTTACGTAAGAAAGATAGATAGAAAGATTAGAAGCTGAGCTTTGGGCTAGTTCCCTCAGTTACGCTTACTGGATCACTATCCGTGTTGCATACCCTGTAAGTCCTGTCGTTCAGATAATTGCGGTACCATTCTAGAAGGTTTCGTCTAATTCCGCAGTCGTCAAAGGTTTGTATTATTTTATCATGTCTCAAAGTATGAAAGCCACTGGCTAGACGTGTTGTCTAAGTATTTGTATGTACGGTCTGTAAAATCTGATGATAACAACTGTGTTATATTTTTACGCGGTTGGAAACCATATTGATTTTTAGGAAGTATATTATTTTTTTCGTAAAAGCTATGTATTTGACCACATATGTATTTTTGGATAATTTTGTCAATAGTTGATAAGAGTCTTTATGGCAACCTTTTTTTGTATATTGGTCTAACGATACCTGTTTTTAGCAATGTAGGGTATTTTCCTGTTTTGATACTAGCGTTAATAAGTTTGGCTACAACATTTTTTAGTTTCTTGCGTAATAGTTTAATGTCAATAGCCCGTATTTGGTCGTAGCCTGGTGCTTTCTTTGTGCTTATCGACTTAATATTTTTTTCTACAGAACTCGAATTCGCCGGCTTAAAGCGTATACTAATGTCGGCCACTCTCTGATATACCGATTTTTCCAATAAAGAATTGGAACAATTCGTTATAATTTTTTTCACACCCGCGTCGAATGTACGTGCAAATTTATTTGCAATGTCTTTGTGGTTCGTTTGTGAATGATTGCCGAAGTAGTTTAGTAAGGACGCGTCCACCGATGATTTTATTTTTCCCGTTACTTTATTTAAAATGTCCCAAAGTGACTGTGGGTTACTTTTGTTCGCTAGAATGTTAGAAATAGTAATTTTATTTTTAGTTTTATTAATTAATTTAGTAGCAAAATTTCGTGTCTTGTTATATTTTTGTTTTAAGATAAAATTATTCGTGTCTTTTAGCCATTGTGAGAATAAGGAGTCTCTATAGTCACACGCCTTAATAATTTTAGCATTCATCCATTTATATTGACTTTTAATCCTCTCCGTATATTCCGAGTTTCTATAGCACATCGTTAAATTATCGCGAATAAAATTATAAATAGCATTTGGGCACGACATATTATTAGTTTCATTCTAATTTATTTCTTCAATTATTATATTTTTGTAGTTTAATGTTATCGATGCACGTCTTATATTGGGCAATGCGCTGTGAACG